AGTCCTCATATAAAGTGGCTATAGCATTCGCACATAACCTACACATATCCTCTCATATGCTTTAAATCATCTCTGGATTACTTACAATACCTAATCGAATGTAAGTGCTATGTAAATAGTTGTTATACTGTTTTATTCGTATTGTTTTTTATTGTTGTTATTTTATTGGGCTTCTTTTTCAAATATTTTTCATTCTTGGTTGGTCGAATCCACACATGCGGAACCTACAGATGTAGAGGCCCGACTGTATTTATAATCCTTCTTTCCCTGTTCTCTCTTTTCCATATAGTACCTATGACCTTACTAAAAATAAAAATCAGATCCCCTGCTCAAAACTCTTCAGTGATTTCTTATTACACTTACAATACAGGCCCAGCTCTTCATTACGATCTCTGTCAGTGCTGTGCTGCAGTCAGATCGTACCAGCTCGTGAGAGCCAATCGTTACTTCCAGGAATTTTGTGAACCAGTTGTTAATCACAGCCATTGTTAAAAATTAAATGACATAAACTTATGGGTAAATAACTTATGTTAAAAACAAAAGTAATAAATATTTTATCACTTTTTACTGTTGTCTGTGCTCTTCAACATCATCTCCTTTATTTCTGCGATAGAAATGGCACGTAATGGTGTCCTGCTGCCGCCCCTCTGCTGGGAGTTACTCCCCAGCCCCAGTGCTTGCATTTTCTAGTGCTCTCTGAGTTACGGCTGTTGCTACAGCAGGGCTCCTGTTACTCAACTTGTTTGAAATGATTGGTATTATGTTTATTTGTATCAACAAAGCTAATAATTTATTATTGTCAATAAATTTTTCTGCCATCATTGAAGTCATTAATGGCACTAGTAAGTGAATATTTTTTAAAATTTTCAAAATATGTTTTCGTACCGTACATCTTATGTTACATAGGCTACAAATCTAAGCTCAGCCTTCACTTCCTGATATTGCCACTGCAGTGAGGTATAATATCTTCCTTAAGCATGTATCGTGTTATCCTTCCTAAGCACAATACTGTTACAACTCACTATGTGAATTACCTTTATTCTTTGCAGTGTAAATGTCAATCAGTATTTGCTGTTTAGCCATATTTTGTGTGTTTTTAAATACTTGTTTTCATTTTTAAAATTGTTGATATTTTTACTAAATTTTATATGCTTACTCTGATTGTTGCTACTAATAATGAATACATTAATTGAAGAAAGAGAAACACCAAGGGAAGCAGAAATATACATGCTAAATAGATCCCATTCATCTTTAAGCTGGAAAGAGAAGGTTGCATTTCTACTTTCTACAGGATTGTACATATTTTCCATAAATTTCTCACTCATTAGCAATTTTTTTCTATACTCACAGGGTTCATTTTAGTCAGTTTTGTGATGAGAAAATATCTAAGATCCTATAACAGCCAATTACAGGTGATCTTACAGATAATATTGATTTTACCCCAGCTGGACTGATATTTTATAGGTTTAGTCTGCTGTTTCCATGTGGCACATAAACTAACTGAAAATTTAAAACTTGGCTATACACCTGTAATCCTAGCACTCTGGGAGGCCGAGGCGGGCGGATTGTTTGAGCTCAGGAGTTCGAGACCAGCCTGAGCAAGAGCAAGAC